AATTCGCCCGAAGAATTAGCGAACTTTTAAAAAGACTTTTCGTTTTTCCTCAATAACTCCCGAACGGATGGACGTAGGGGGGCGTATTTAAGCTCATTTTGTAGGGGGCGACGAGATCTACAATTTCTGTGCAAAAAGAATTCGCTAGTGTCAATGGTTAACGAGTTATAGACGAAGAACGAAAAACTGTTTTTTGCAAATTACTCGTGAACTATTGATGCTAGCGCAAAACTATTATATACGAATTGTAGATCTCATCGTCCTCTACAAAATGGATCTAAACACGTCACCCTATCTCCACCCGTTCGGAAGTTATTTGCGAAAAACAGAAAAACAGTTTTTTGCAAATAACTCGTTAACGATTGGCACTAGCGAAATCTTTTTGCAGAGGAATTGTAGATCTCGTCGTCCCCTACAAAATGGTTCTAAATACGTCCCCCTACGTCCATCCGTTCGGGAGTTATTGACGAAAAACAAAAATTGCAGAAATATTGCTGTACGTACTGGAGTCAAGCATGGTTCGCAGCCGTGAACGCTAGATGGCGCGACGATGAACTTTTTAGCCGAGCTCTTTCGCTTTTAACAAGACTTTTCGTTTTTCCTCAATAACTCCCGAACGGATGGACGTAGGAGGGCGTATTTAGAATCATTTTGTAGGGGACGACGAGAGCTACAATTTCTATATAATAACTTTTCGCTAGTGTCAATGGTTAACGAGTTATTTGCAAAAAACGAAAAACAGTTTTTTGCAAATTACTCCTAAACTATTGGTGCTAGCGAGAAAGTTTTATGTAAAGATTGTAGCTCTCGTCGCCCCCTACAAAATGATCCTATAAAGTTTCCTCTAAGTCCATCCATTTGGGAGTTATGGGCAAAAAACGAAAATTTCGAAAAATTGAAGGTGTACCCCTTGGAAAAATTTCGGAAAAATCGAAAATTTTTTTTTTGTTGTTTATTATTAGTAATGTTCTTCCGACGTGTGATTTCTTTTTAAAAAATGCGTTTCTAAAGTGCATAAACTTTTGGGATTGACTGTATAGCCAATACATCCTTAATATTAATTTCCTCGGAGTTACCTGCATCCAGCGAGCAGCACTTGTCTGTACATCTCCACGCTGCTCTTTCCACCGAACTGTCTGCCGCTTAAATAAGTATTGTGGCTGGAGTTGATGTAGTAATGGGACAACGGCTGGTCCATGTCCATGTAGACGTCGAGCCGGTCGAGGAAGACCGGCGCGTTCTCGTCGGACATCAGGTACCTTATAAAACCATCCTTGGTCATCGTTTCTGAAAGGACGTGATTGTTTCTGAAAGGATGCCACGTCGCAGGTACAAACTAATTCGAACACTCAGGCGCGATAATCGAGTGAAGCAAGCTGAGCGGGGGGCTGTGATGAAGCGGATCGGACGCCGGCTTACTTTGATTCCGCGCCGTCTCATTCTGCTCGTAATCGTTTATGATCTCGAACGCTCTCTTGTCGTCGTAAAGCGGGTACAAGATCTCGTTCAGAGTCGGGTCGCGTTGCTTCTCGTTCAAGAATGTAACCAACTGCTCCAAATTAATCGTGTCCGCTTTGCCTTGGGTGCTGAAACAGTCGATCATTACACCCAATGTCCCTGCGCTTATAGGGAATTACGTTCACTGCGCTCACATCGATTGGAACAATTCCTCTATGTCGTTCCGCGGGCAGATCTTGTGGTACAGCGCGTAGAACGCCTCGAACGTGAAGTCGTCCGGCTCGATCACGTCGTTCTGCAACATCATACAAAGTCTCAGCACAGGTAATCGAGGGGAACGTGTTTCTTAGGTATGATACCTTTTCGCTGGGTAGGCCTAACTCGGCGAGACACTGATACACAAGCTTTTCCGTTTTTCCGGAGGCGAAAGTCCTCGCGACCACTTTCACTGGAACTTTTCCATTCGGATCGACCAGCATTCGAAGCCTCATCCAACTGGAAGAATAGTAGTTTAGTTTTCAGCCTCGAAACCGTGCCTAACTTTCACGCTTTAATTTTTAATACTTGAATACTTTCATAAATTTACTGCAATTCTAAAATAATTGTATATTTCGTAATTCTATTTTTAAGCGTTTCTGGTTCTATTTGGAAGGTTCGTGTAATACGATTCTGTTTCAAATTAGAGATTTTTATTACAACGGGACTAGAATACAATTTTATTTTTGTTCTTCTTAGAAGAACGGTTTACAAAGTGCTAAGCAAAATACATGAAAGATATACAATTCTTTGTTTCCACCGACTAAAATAATTTGCAAGGTTTTAAAATAGACGCGGTCAGAAATAAAAAGAACTTTTCCCGGATTTACGTCTGGAAAAGTTCGAGGCGAACGATTATCATTCCACGGGTAAGGCGTGTGTAATTGCATCAGCAAACTTACTGTTTCTTCAAGCAGGTGAGAGGGCAAACGTTGTTGGCTTTCACGTTGTGCGTAATCGATCGTATTCCGTCCAGCCATATCTGTCACGGGGCATAGGAAACGTGTGGGCTTATTGATTATGACAATAATTGCTGAACCAATGAATTGGAAAACTCTTTCCGCGAAAATCGATGCGGTAATACGCAGCCACGGGTTCTCTTCTAATTAGACGAATGTCAACCGGGACGACGTAGGAAATTTCCCGTAATTTTCAGCAAATATCCAGTCCAATTCCGTTTTTTTTTTACTACAGTAATCGAATGATTACTTTAACGAGCAAATTTACCTTAGCCGTCGCTGGGTCCGGGCAGATGACGTGCTGGTAATTAATATTGGTGTAATCCACGCCGGAGCAGATGGTTAAACTTTTCTCCTCTAATTGGATCCCGTGTTTCGACAAGAGCTTCTCGAACAGCTTCGGGTCCTGGGGAAAATTTTAAATCGATCCTCAAACACTCGCTGATTGGTTACTTAAAAAGATGCCAGAGAACACGGAAGTGTGTTCTCTGCTCTGGCAGCGATCGAAGTCGAAATGTCGGTAAATCTATATATATATGAAAATATGTGGATAGACGTTTCGAATGAAATACAAATATTTTCGGTGGCCGCTATCGATCGGCACCAAAGCGACCGAGTTTGCAATGCTCAACTCTCGAATCCACCCAGTTGATTTTTATTTTATTTATCACCGTTCTGATTAAGAATGTTTAATTACCTTCGGTAATCCACCGGCGCGTATGTCGCTCACTTGACACAGCTCTATCACGTCTCCGTCCTGTGCTCGGAACAGAAAGCAACAGAAAGCTGTATAAAATACGGGAGGCAAAATATTTCCTTTGGTTTAATTTTATATCCGCGGAGTTTATATTCATTAGGACGAAGTTCGCCTGCATAAAGCTGGATGGTTATTTATTGGTTTTCTCGGCACGGGTCCGTTTGCATACACAACAATGTACGACGTTTTCGAAATCATAATATAACTAACCGAAGGCGATTCCTCATGCCAAGATATGCAAAATACGTAAAACGATTTACATTCCCCGGCGCAGTAAAAAGAACTCCGCGAGAGACGAACCAGTCGAATTAAGTGATGTAAGGCGGAGGTAATAATTAACCGCGTGACAAGTGGTATGACACGGTGAATTCGTTCGAACAATAGGCACGTAACAAAAGAGGCGCGCTCACCCTTCCTTCGCTCTGCCAGTAGATGAAGAAACCGTATTCGTCGGCCTTGAACGTACAATTCACCTCGAGGTCCGTGTTGTCCTTCTCCTCGGACCAACGGTCGAACACGGATCCCTGACGTAGCGGCAACGGCACCTCAGGTTGCCAATTGAACTCGAACCTCTTCGTCATCTTTCCCGCGCCGATATATCCGTGTCGATTAATGCGCGATCTCGTCAGATTCCTGCCGGCAAACCTCGATTCGTCCAACGAATTTCCAATAATATTCGTGGAAATTTCAATAGAAAGTCGTCGTTTCAATTGCACGGGTCACATCAGCGATTCCAGTGGCGTATCCCTAGGTTACGAAAGCCGCGACGAGGAATAGGAAACGCGACACCGCCCTTTGACGGTATTCATTTATTTCGAACGAGGCTGCACAGGTCGCACAGAGGCGGTAATCGATGCGCCGCCGGTTCGATTAACCGTGGTCGCTCTCTTAACAGTATTTCCTCAACCTCAATCGAGTATTAACCCGGTAGAATGAACGGGACACACGCCGCGCAGCCTCTTTCACCTGCAATCTAATTAAACGTTGATCTCGTTAAACGGAAAGGTTCGCTCGCGGAACGGCGATCAACGGCTTCCTAAAGGGAGGAACCTCGTTTGCCAGTGAAACCGAACGAGCCGGGGCGAGCGTAACGCACGTCCGCGCAGAATTTAGGCGAGAGCGTCAATCGAGTTAACGTTCCCAACACGACGCGGTGTGTATTTCCTCGGCCCCGATACCCAATCCCGGGGGACCGAGATAACCGCGTTTCTTAACCCATTTTACTCGGCTGTCGCTGTTCGTTACTCTTTGAAACTGAACGTAACGAAATCTCGATCGCAACCCCGTTTGCCTCTGATAAAGAGATCGCAATTTCCGAAGGCAACGACCAAGGCCACTCGAAACGGGAAGCTCTCCCAGCTGCACGGATCACGCTCGCGTCACCGTTAGGAATTTTCTTTTTTTTTTTTTTCGACCGATCGATGCTGTACCGAAGCGCAAGGGATTTCTCGGCATCGTTGCACTGATTGACCTTTATTCCTCGGTTGCAAACTGGGACAAACCATAGACGGAAACGAGTGGACGAAAATAGAACGGTGACGGGGTACACCTGCGCGGGATTTTTGTCACGGGAGTAGCCGGTGTCTCTGTGCAGTAATCAGAATTAGAGATCGCTCGCGTGTAGGCGATTGAAAAAGCTTTATCTCCCTAAAGGTCACTGAAAGCATCGAAGAGAATGGAAAAGAATTCAACTATCACCCGTGGGTCGAGACTTTTCACATTTATATATTTCTTTATAGAACGTGTCGGAAGTATGGATCACTCACGGCGTTAAGAGCGTTTCTTCCTGGCTGGCTTGCACATCTTAGTCCCGCGCTGCACCTGCGGCAATAAAAGCAGAATAAAGTTTCTTAGAATCAAGGTCACCGCGTCTATATATAGGAATCGGTACACAAATTGGACTCAGTGAACGATCTAATCTTTACTGCATATTTCACACCGCTGTCAAACAACCCGTTACCTAGTTTCCGGTCATCAGAAGACCTGAACATCCGATCTCTGATACGAGCGTGCGAAATGTTTACAAAGAAATAGGTCGATCGTCTTTGACTTAATAGGCCATTGCGTTAAAAAACAAACATCGAGAAAAGTGACATTCCCTGTAATTTACTAGAATACGTATTTTTACATCGGAAGTACTGATAACGAAATCCGCTTCCTTTTGCAAGTAAGTACATGCTAATATATTCGACGCGTACTTTTCGCGAGTCAACAGTGTACCGAGGCTGAATTATCGGCGCTTGGAATTCAGGCGAATACACGAGGCTAACGAAGCGTAATTAATAAAACGCTTATCTCTCGCTGACCATTATTATTTGCCGGATTTATCAGCCGCGAAAGGTCGAGCACCTATCAACGTTTCTATCATCCGCGGATATCCCGCCTCGCCTTATCGAGAGTTATCTTAATTGACGCAAGAGGAAGTTTTGCAGAACTCAGCTAATGACGTCCACCCTAATTGTTTAGGTATATGAGCGCGACGTAATAGCAAAAGCGTCGATGGTAGGTTTCAGGAAGAGTAATCACGAAAATGTGAGTAAGAAAGCTTCGACGTTAGGGGGAGAAGAGAATAAGAAGAAGCATAAGTACGAAAGAACTGGTATTTTCGGAACGAGTTCCAAACTTCTGCACGTGTTTCTCATCGCAATCAGTATAAATCCAATAGTTATTAATATCAGAGAATAAAATATATAACAAAATTGTTTACGAATCAATCGTAATTAAATTAGAGAAAGTTAAAAAATTTGTTCGCCAATCGAGTGGACACGTGTTACAAAAATAATGCGTCCCTCAGGCCTCCCATCCCTGGCAGAGATGGGAAAGGTTTTCTGGCTGAGTAAACGAATTCTCAGGAAGCTTGTAGCGCGTTAAGCGCGTGTAACAAGTATTTTCGTCGTGAAAGTGGGAGCGCGTGTCGTAACGCCCGTGGCTTCCTTGACACTGAGTTCACGAAGCAACTACTTTCGTTTGCTCGTATATCAACATTCGCGTTCTCCACGAGGAGCACGTATTGATCTTCGAACGCATTTAGTCTAACCGGATATATTGGAATTCAAGAATTTGATTATCTCCGAGCAGTGGCGCGTACATCCGGGAAAACCAGGTCTCCGGCAGGTGGTATAACGTTACCCAAGATGAAAACGAGATCTCCCATTATACGTAGAATAGAATGCACGTTGTATATACATCGTGATAGATGTACATTTTACGGCGCACGAACGAACGCGAGTTATTAAACGGGTAATGTATGTGCATACACCGCGCGGGTAATCTCCGGCTCGATCACGAAACCGTGTGTACACTGCGCGCTTATGCAATATTACGTAACGCCTTGATCTTGGAGTCGGCCGCGAAATGAATGAAACTATCGCCGCGGCGGTAAAAGGTCCCTTTAAATGAATGAAAACCGCAGGGCGCGCACGTGCTCCCCCGGGTCCTCGCGCCCCGGGCTTTTCACGCGCCGGGACGTTTTCGAAATCCCGACATCGTCCCTCGAGTGGCCATTACGCGCTCGTACATAAATACAGCGCAAACATTTACGCTGCGATACACATAAGTGGTACACGCCGGTGGAAAAATATTTGTTCAGTCGCCGGCGGAGCTTTTGCTCGGTCCGCTCCAAGTCCGGTTCCGCGGATTAACTCGACAAGTGGTTCGTCGTTCAATTGCCGCTCGTAAATCGATAATTACATAACTTCCGTCGTGAGACCGGAATTAAGCCGCCGCGACGCCGACGGCTTAACACGGCCGATCGAGGAGAATAGAAATAAATGAGGGTCACGACCTCCCGTATAGGCCGGCATTAAACGAAGAACCGTCTAGCACGGTCTGGCTTAAAAAAAAAATCATACTTTTTCTTGCTGCGAAATTATCGACGTCCGCCATGTACAGACTTTGTTTACGTTCGAATGCAAAGTCCGAGCGCAATTAATTCAGTGGATTCATGAACGCGTATATAAAATATGACAGCGTAGCCGACTCGATATCTACGCGAAACGGTAATGATTTATGCAGGCGCCCGTGCGAAACCCACGGGGCGTAAGTTGTTTTTAGCCTGACAGCGGTAATTAATCATCTGTGTCAATGTTTGCGAATGTCGCGTCTGACAATTTCACTGGAAACATTAGTAGATGCGATCGATAGCCGAGCGATTGCCTATAAACGCATCGAGATCGAACACAATGGGAACAAAAAGCTCGTCCGTCAATTCTGACGCGATCACCTGTAGACGGTGCAACAGTTCAAGTACGTATTAGACATGCAATCCCGGTCGGCTCGGGATAGGTTGACAATCGCGCGCTTCCGCATGGGCGACGTGACGGGACGGATACGTTGAACAACGATTTTCTGCGCGAAGGTTAAAACCGGCGATCAAGAAGTACGAGTGACCGATGGCCGATGACAAGTTAACGTCGAGGACGGCAAGGCGAAGGTAATATCTCGTAATGGAAGTTCGGTGACGCGACGACGACGACGGGTCGTCGTTTCACGTCAAATCCATTGGACGGTGGGCGCCGCGTGTTTACCCCGCTGCTCCTCGGCCACGCTACCTATTCCCTTGACCTCGAAAATCCCTACGGGACGCGCTTGGCAGTCAGGGTCGAGCGCGGATCTCCCGGACCGTTTTTCCCCCCTATCGAAATTTTCTCGCGCCGCGCGTCACGGCGACGTTCGCGTTGATCGACGATAATTAGCAAATCGTCGACTCGTCAAGTTCGCCGCGGACGCGTTTAACTCTCCGGCTTTACACGCGGCTGATAATACCACCGTTTCCGGGAGTGTGCGTGCACGGGACGCACGCACGGAATACAATGCTCGCGCGTGTCAGCACGCATGAGCGGTGAGAACAAACGCGAGGGAGGATGGGGTGGAGAGAAGTCGATGGCGAGAAAAAGACAGGGCGAACGGTCGAACCGGGATAGAAACATAGGAAACGAAAGAGAAAGGGAAAGACAGAGACAGAGAACAAGATTTAGAGCGACGGGGAACTCGGATCGAGGCAATACTAGCGAATGCGTGTGTGTGCTCGACGCTCAATGCCTGGCTATCTCGCTGGGAGAAACGCTCTTCAATTATTCTGATAACGTCCCAACTACGTTTCGACCGATGTGACAATTAGAAAAATTCAAACGCGTTCCCCAAAACGATAGGAAATTCCAATCGCAATCTGCCTCGACGATCTCGCGTGCATTTATTAAAAGACAGTTTCTACGGTCGGCGAGCGAGCCAAGGCTTCGGATGAAACGCAACGTGCCCGTGACGTGCAGTAACCATGGACGGTCGTGTACGATGTCGGACGCGCGCACGCACACACGCGCGTATAAACGCGCACACGGGCACACCAGCGTACGTACATCAATTACGCTGCTCCGTCGTGAACGAAATTTCTGTAAGGTGTCTTGGCCTTACCGTGTATAAAATTACCGGCTGAATGACGGCAGCTGTGCTGACACGACCCGCGGTTCGATTACATTTCTTTCACGGCCATCCCTGCATCCGCGCGGTCTCGCGCGTTGTCTCCGTTTCGACGGGGATTGAAAAAAAAAAATGATCGTAACGCAGTGGCTGTTTCAACGAGATGGAGGAGCGCGCGTTTCTTCGGTGCGGCACTGAACGCCTTTCAGGCGCGGCGGAAGAAACTGACGGTGCGACACCGTCTGTTGACGGGCAAGCCACCAGTCTGGCTCGATACCGTCCGTTTCTCCTGCGCGCATGTGCCGCTGCCTCGCATCGCAGCTGTTTCCGAAGCTCTGTCAGTAAAAACGACACCTGCTACTCCCCTCAATAAATTAATAAATATATAAACTAATTTACGAAAAATAATAATAAACTCCTATTTAAAACTTGGAACATCCTATCGATCGATATATCGACGCGAACACGAAAGAAAAATTTCGTTCTATATTACGTCGAGTGCTTACGTGTCTGACCACAATCTGCAGATTCCACTTCGTCTGGGAAAACCAACTACTAAACAGGAACGAAACGTATACACGTACGTACGTACGTACGTGTTGGTATATATAAAATTAATGTGTGCGGTTGGGTGTATAATTAAAGTATTTGTATAATTTCAATTGGGAATCAGAAGAGCGTAGAAATGAACGCGCGTTGATCCTTTTTTCCCGTAATCAACATTTCCCGGAATTAAACATACTTTTTATTCAATTTCACGGACGTCCGGGCGCGTTCCAATTTAGGCCGCGGTTAATTAAAATTAGGGATTCCGCGTGCACGGGCATATAAGCGCGGACAATTGTTTCAAGCCGGGGCGCGTTTTAAACGCGATCGGGGAAAGGCGAACGCGTTCCAGCGTGGATACGAGGGTTTGAATCAGACGATATAAATATCTGATCCGAAGACGGATACCTATACCCGCGGACAGATCGTGTTAATAAACATGCCACTCTGATCTACAGTCGCCGTAGCGAAAATAAAACAAGACCGCGAGTGTCTCATCAGCCGCCAGGAATAGACTTGTTCGCCAATAAAATTATCCCGTCGACGTTTAATTGCCGCGTCACGTCTAACCAGCATCTGGGATTTAATTCGTGCGGGGATCCGGTTAAGCGGAATCGCATTGTGCAAAGTAGATAACGCCTACGTCTGCGTTTCCTAGTTTTTTGACGTACGGCAAAATTCAGTGAACCCGTCGCGACGTCGCGGGACGTAATGGACCGGGAAACTTTGTAGCTGAAACTTGTTAACTCTGCACATGACGGCGTTCCTAATCCTCGTTAGCTTGTAACGTCGGATCAGAGTTAGCTTCGTCACCAAGCGAGACGAGGAACGAACGAACCGGCAATAGGTGCAAGAGGATTGCGAGGCTTATCGGACGAGCCAAGAGCCGAGAAATTCCCGTTGAACGGCATCGTCGCGCTCTCTGTCTGAAACTCCTCCGTAGCAGGCGTAGGTGTCCGGAGTTCAGGTCGATAAAAACGAGGTGAGCCGGGAGGCGTATCATCTACGGAATACTCGGTTCGATCGTCGGGAGTAAGAGGAATGGACCTGTCTCCTCGTTTCCTGCTGATTTGCTCGAACGAGCACGGCTTCGACCACCTTTGTCGGCGACGTCTCGGAATGCACGCTCCATTCCATTTTACAGATCAACGAGAACGAGTCTTCCTTTCTACAGACCATTTCCATTGTGCAGAGACAGTCATTTAAATAAAATCGCGAATATTTCGAGTTTTCATTAAATTATATCGTTCGTTCGAGACCCGGTCACGTAGAAATCTTATACCCGGTGGACAGTAGCGGTCTTAAAAGCTGAATCACCAGCCAAGAGGATTTTTCTTTAACAGAAAGTACGCTCAGGTGTGGCACTCCAGATCCGTGAGGGACACGGCTAAATAGCGTTTTTATACGAGCTCGCACGTCCAAGTAGACAACTTGCTCGGAACTTGTACATACTCGCAATACATCTTTCCTTATAGACTCCATCAGTCGTGTTACTGAATCGTAAAATAGGCGAAACCGTTTATACTCGACTAATTTACTACTTCTCGGAAGCGTTTTTATAAATCCTTCGACCGCAACCAGAAAGACCTGACGACGAAGAGCCACGCGTTTGAATTAATATAAAATCGTAGAGGTGCATAATTGAAACGAAAACGGAATATGTATGTTTCTACGTGGACGTCGTATGAAAACGCACTTTCGAGATTTAAGAAAAAACCAAGTCGTGGGAGAAACGGGTTTTGCCCCAAAGGAAAAGCGCAATGTGAAAAGCGAGTAACGAGAGCGACGATGCCACCGCTGAGAAATAAACTTGCTCCTCTTTTTGGCCGAGCTGACTAACTCGACGTACCGCAGGGGTGTAAACCCCTCGTTTTGAATATGCATGACGGTCCCCTTTTTCGGGTGCTACGACCGTCGCGTCAACGGCTTCTCTCTCGTGTGTTCGTCGGAAAGCCCGTATGTACCGTCTTCCCTCTCCTCCATTTCTCTTAACCCTCGTTCCGGCCTTCCCGGGTACCAAATTAACTCGCATTCCGCGCTTCCTTTGATGTTACCCGGAGTGTCACTGACCAACCCGTCGCTACAGCTGAGCCCTCCATCTACGTACATTAGAATCGAATTTCATCGCTGGTGTATTCGCTCGCCGGACTAACGACGCATTCCTACTGGCTCAGCTACCTGGTTAATTAACTCGTTAATCGTGTTCACCTATAAATGAATCCTTCTAAACACCCATCCCCTCGTCGACCGACTCCACGAATTTAATTATGACGAAACCTAATGACATCCAACCAGTCGCCTGTTCTACAGAAATCAATCAAATAATTTCCATTATTTGGTTTACCAATCGAGTCTGGTTTGCATACCTCCTCCTTCTTCATCAAACAACGTAACGTCTGAGGATGATTTGTGGACGCGCGTTCCTCCGTGACACGTGTCGTAACACAGCGTGCACATGTTATATGCAAGGCATCGGCACTCGGTTGTACATTTCGCGTACCGGCTCGGTACGTGCCCCGGGAAAAGGACGAGAGCCATTTCGTAATTGCTTTCCTTCCCCGACGGCTCAACCTTCGAGCAAAACTGAGGAACCTACTCATCTCCCTGATACGAGTCAGCGGCGGCGTGATTTACGCGAGCTACGCGACCACCGCCGCGGACCTTTACAGAACTTTCTATTTGATTATTCACGCGAATAGTCCGCTCTGATCGATCACCCGAACGACCGGCCGTTCGATCCGAAATTACCGTTTAACAGAAGGCGGAGGAAAAAAAACGGTGAAATCGAATTGCACCACGCTTCGCTTGTCTCGAACTCGGCGTTAAATAGAGAAGATCGAACGTCGATTTTTACAAGACGGACGAGATTACTATATATCACCCGACCTGTTCGTGACCATTTTTAATCATCTGCCATTTTAAATAAATCGGTCGAAGGAAATCTGCAGTACCTTGCCGTTGGCAATTTCTTCTTTTCAATCCTCGTCAATAGATTCGGTAGGCAAATTCGTGGAAATTGTTCGACGATTGCCCGGTTCAGCTATTTTCATGCCGTAATACGCATACGGTTAGTCGCAAATTCGATCTTGAATAAAGGCGTATTGTTCGACGGCCGAATACGAATGAAGAATCAAAGTCCGCGGCTGTTCGACTCCCATGTACCGAATATTATATTACGCGCGGCTACCTTTCTGGGCAAATCCGTCGAATACATTAGCATCGATGATTGCGACATATTTCCGCGTACGCTGTCAACGAATTTTTCTTTTTCCGCCTGCATCGATATTCTTGGAGAGAATCGGCCGGCACGGCAACATTCACCGGAATTCATTCGGTTATTACATTAACCAACGGCCGACGTTTGCACGATGCGGAACGGAGAGGGAACGGCGGTGACTGCCGGCCAGATGTGTAACCGGTAGCTGTTTAAATTGAACGTATATATGTATACGCGGCGCAGCGTGTAGAAATTCGGTCCCCCAGAGGCGAAGTTTAACGATAAAGGAGCAGGACGGCTTTCGGCACCAAAATTCTCTTGTCGAACGGGTCACGCGTCACCCCTCTCGTGTCCTACGAAACGTGCGCGAATTTTCCTTGGGATATTGTTTAAATATCGTCGGATACGTACTTCCAAATTCTCTCTTATCTGTTTTATTCATCGGCCGACGCGGGACAGAATTTTCCTACAGCCACCCCATTCAATGTTTGCCACCGTTCACCACCGTGTACTCGGACGAGGAACGCGCCCGTGGTATTTACATACGACGGAGATGCCGATCTTTAAACGCGATCGTTTTAAATCCCCGACGCGCGTATATCAAGAAAACTGATTGCCGCTGGGTACGACTTTCCCGTATGCATGATCGGGAAACGACTTCTCGTGATAACGTATCGGGAACAAGTTCGCGCGACCGCAACGCGGGGATCAAGGAAACGTACAAATGGAAAAAGTTCACCGCTACCGAAACTTCGTTCCTATTTATTTTTATCGGTTTAACTTCCGCACAGCGACGCAGTAATGCCGGAGACACCGCGCAATCCTCGCGTGATGTTCGTCGCGTCTTAACCATAGACATTCCCATTCAATTGCTCCCCGTGAACGTATCCACCTAGGTCCATTTGAATTTCTCCGGGGTCTCCTTTATTTCGACACCTAACGCGCCTCCGTAAGGAGTCACTCGAAATAACAGCGGTTATCGATTTTCTAATAATCTTGTAAAGAGTTGCCAAACGACGTAACGGTCGTAATGACCTCGCGGGCAAACCGGTTCCCGTCCAGTTTTGCGAGACGAGCGAACTTGAACGAACGATCTCGAACTTGCCCCATAAAAGTCCGGTAAAAAATGTCTAACAAAGATCTCACTCCTCGTGAGTGCGAGCAAATTAATTCCACCCTTGCGCGCTTCCTGGTCGACGCGAAAGAGGAGAAAATCAGGTTGAGGCATGCACACGGGACTTTTAAATCTCCTAAGGTGCGTGGGATGATTAACCGGTTCCATCGTACCGTTGGAGAATAAGGAAACGATCGCCTAATCTTGTGAACAGTTTTCGTTTCGCGTTCGCCGATCAACAAAACGTCCGTATTTCACTATCAGATATTGGGACATCGAAATGCGATCGAATGTGAAGTTTTTATTTGAATAAAACAAATACTGGATGACAAACAACCAGTGCGTAACAGAGATACACGGCCGTGTGACAAAATAAAAAATGGTGACAAACGAAAAACGTTTCGTATATGTACGTAGATAAATTTACAAAGCCGAAGGCGCAGTGGGGAATTAATCAAAAGTTTCGTTCGCCTCGGATTCGGTAATATTTCAAGGAGGGGGAAATATCTCTCGCCTAACGACCTTTCGAAATGGGCGCCTCTTCGAAAATGGAAAAGTTGTGTGGTTTTTGGACACGTTTTGAAAGACGTACGATTGTGTAGGGAAATACAATATAAAAGAATTCTTATTTTTTAAAAAAACAATTTGTATTTATTTCTACTGTCGTTCATTAACTACAAAATTAGTTAGTTGATTTTTACAAGAATTACAAAGTAGCGATTCATGTACCATTTAATGCTGTGGAAAATATTAATTTGGAGTTCTAAATATATTGCAAAAAAGAATAATTTTTTTCAAAATTCCATTTGCATTTATTTCTACAGTCGTTAATTAACAGCCACTGTAAAAAGGCTGCGAGCACACGCAGTGAACGAATCTTGACCGAACGTCCAATTAGGCGGTTCACTCATCGCGATTCACCATGGCCAGTCCCGTCGCTGACCTGTTAATAAAATATACAATTTTTTTCACGGTTACGTCTGGTTCTGCCGTTGCCTATTAGGCGTGAAAGTTTAAGTGACCGGATTCTCTTCTCTATGAAAGTTCTCCCGGCTGCCAATTGCCTTCAGCGAACGTAACTCAGCTGATATTCTATCTCAATTCAAACTTCGTAACTGAATGATTCTGCAAGACCTAAATGGTTAAGAGTGTCCGCCCGATATACTCTAATCCTTTCATAACAGCGTTCAGATTGAAACAAAAATCCCTGACACGTACTTATTTACTGTGTTATTTATCTCTTAATTCCCGGGTCTTAAATAGGTATCTGGCATCGTCCAGAAGAAGAATGGTCCGGCGATAACCTCGCGGGAGAGATCGATCGCACGTACCGAAGCAATATTTGTTAATTATAACCGAAGAGTGGCTGTCGATGATAAGAAAAATTATTTCCCCTCCGAATAAAACGCTGACGAATTTCCTGGCGAAATTTTTTAAGAACTGCTAAATAAGTATTAAAATCATTCGTCTTCTTTAGTCACGATCCCGTAACTATTAATACTACTCGGCAATAATCTTTTAATGAATTCCATTTAAGAAATGCCCGAATATCCGTCCTCACGACAAATATTTGGAATGTAAGCAACGTCACATCCGATAACGGCGCGCGACGTCATTTTCCAAAATGAATCCCCATGAATCGCCTCTGAGTAGCTTTGGCCAGAGGGGTTCCTTGTTATCAGCATTGCGGCAGAAAACGCCTCGCGTAACGATAAACATTTAAATAAACGGGTAATGAAATTTAAAAGCGCGGGGCCGCGACGCAAAGTATATGCGTCGCATTATGCAGCTGACAGAAATATATTTGCACGAATTCGTCGCGAGCTCCGTCGACTGAATAGCAAACGTTTGGGATATCAATTACTCGCAGTACTCCATGCAACTGCTGTACGTATGCGTCATCAATCGCACTAATTGCGGATCCCCCGACTTTTATCGCGATTAGAAATTTCAACGCACAGTTTTATAATAGACGTTCGATACCTAATGACCGACTACTGCCAATCAGAAGTGATTGATTCAGTAAAGAAATACGGGCAAAAGTAAAACCGTTTCACCGTCGGGTTTTAAATCTCACACGCGGGAACGCAGGTGCATCCACAGTGGATCTGGCAATGAACCTCTGATAGAAGGAGAAAGGCCTCGATATACGAGATTTACCAGATCCAGTTTCGTGCCTGAACTGGAAGACGTGGAGAACCTGGTAAAGAGGAAAATACGCGAGCTTTTTCTCCTACCGGCTATATAAGCAAGTCGATGCCAGCGTTCGACTGCCAGACGATCCTCGCCCGTGGTTTTACGACTCCTCCTCAGCTCCCGAAGACGCCAAAAATAATGAGGGACCTGGTGAGTCGTCCGTTCGTATTGACAACTTCATTAGCGGCGCACGAACGAGTGTTTTATTCCCACAGATTGTGATCGCCGTGATGGCAGTAGTCGTCGCTGGTTATAAGAAAGGAAGGGCATACACCGGCTTGCTGGAAGATTTCCCGCCGTACCAAGGAACCCATCAGTCCCTTCACGAGCAACACCACCCGTTCCAGGAGCACTCGTTCAAAACGCAACCGTACCAACCGTATCGAAGCCGACCGTATCGACAGGAGTTTTCCTCGTACCCCGAACAATTGTTCCTGAAGGATTCGTCGTTATTGAAAGATTACTCGTCACTGAAAAGCCGACCGTTCCTGGAAGACAGTCCATCTTTCAGGGATTTCGACCCGAAGGGACAATCGCTAAAGAGCGGCTCGTTCTATGACGACAGCACGCAATTAAAAGATTCCGTGGACTTCAGGCAACCACATTCGTTGAGAAGTCGACCATACTTCGACGACAGCCCGTCTCTGAAGGACTCTGCAGAGTTCAAGGATCAATCTTCGTTCTTCGCGGACGGACAATTGTACAAGAGCCGGACGAATTTCGCGAGTGAACAGGCCGCTCAGGATCAGACGTATCTGCGCGACGATTTCCGGTTCGCAGATATCTACGACAAGCAATCTCCTCGGGACCAATCCGTGCAGCAATTGGCTAGCAGCTCTTTCGATAGAAACTCGGAATACTTAAAATACGGTGAGTACTTTAACGCAAATTGCATCTGCTTCCGATACTTGCTTCGAGAGAAACGATTTGCTTGTTATTCAGGAAACCATGGTCTCGGCTATGCCTCCGTGCCGGCAGTTTCGCCGTACGAGAACGCCTTACCATTGAGCGAGGAAGGATCCACGACGATGGCACCACCGATGGCCTCGACGACCACCCACCAACCGTTGCTGCAATCTACCGTCTCCTCTACTATCGACCAAGTTCATATGTCTGCGACTTCCGAGCCGAAAATGGCTTCGTCGAAGGTACCGCACGCGGCGACAATGCAGACCACCAAATCCGATACGGTGAGCAAAATACTCGGCACGTTATCGTCCTCTAACGACGTGACACTTCCAACGCGATTCGTCATCGTTACTCCAGGAGCGTAATAAAACATGTAGGACGAGCAGGATTTATCGATCATTCAGAATGATCGAAGGTAGGCACAATGGGTTTAATAAAAATTAGTAATATCTTTCAGTTGTTGGTCGGCGGTTCCAGCACGTTGACAGATTCCACGAAGTCTCCAGTCACCGCGAAGCAATCTTCGAACTTGGCTCAGCCGTCGACAGGTTTGACCACGGAGTCTAGCTCGCCTGTCATGACCACAGAATCTCCGGACGTATTCTTCGAACGACAGTACGTAATGGCACTGTCACGATTTATTACCTGGTCGACCGATCGCCCCCGTCTAATTCCAGAGGCTCGTCATTAGAGACCTCAGTACCGACGCCCACTTTATCTCTAGTATTCGCTTTCGCCTTGTAGCAAAATGCCGCCGATTGAATTTCCGGGGGCCAAGTTCACCAGCTTGCCGCAGTCTTATTATAATTTCAACGGCGGTCTGCGGAACAACTCGCCGGTCTCTCTGCTCGGCTATCTGCTGTCGCAGTCGGGTAAGACCGGCATAAAACTGAACGAGCACGCGTCGTCGCTGCTAAACCCCCCGTTACCGGAGGGCAACAACTTCGGCAACAAGATCCAGAGCTCCATGTTGAATTACGTACTACCCGAGGAATCGAAGCTGAAGGACAACTTGCAGAGTTCGCTTTTGAACTATCTGCTGCAGCAGGAACTGAACCGCGGCCTATCGTTCCAACAATCTCCCGTGTCGGGGAATACGAACTACGTACAACTGGCCTCGCTGGCCGAGAAACCAAAGATCACGCTACCGGGCATGTCGATCGCGACCCTGTCACCGGTTTCCCGGCCGTTGCAGACCATAAACTATGTCTCCCCGACGGCCACGCTGCCAAGAGTCTCCTCGTTCGGTGCTCAAGTCTCGCCGACCGGCATCCTTCCGCTAGGTACGATCGATATACTTGAGGCGAGAGGCAACCATCCAAAGGGATGTTTAATTCTCTTTTATTGCCTCGATCCGATGTCTACCGCGTTTTATTTTTCCGAGACGTTTTCAATCTAACAGATTTAACACTGGCACGCCGTATCTACGAGGTTAATATTCGCCGTGGAAAACCGGGGTGTTAAATTCGAGGTTCTTTTTACGGGACACGGGACGCAATATAAAAAGGAAGCCCGAGCACGTGAAAAACCGACGGAGACAACCAGCTTGTTTCTTGTTCCAGGCGCCGCTTCGCCTCCCGGCTTGTCCCCGAGCGTGTTCAACAGTTTACCTGGCGGGATGAGCGACGGCATACCTGCGGGAATACCTGCCGGCATATCGGCGAACGTTCCAACCGTGCCAACTTTGAATTTCGGACAGAATCTCCAACACGTGGGCCAGCTGCAGCAACTTGCACCGGCTACGAGTCAACCGTTCTCCACAGGTACACTTATCGATCGCGCCTCGCCGCCTCATCGTCAAATCCCTACGCGCCTATTCCCAAAGTATGACACAAGACTTTCAGACGTCGTCCGCAAACACGCGAGTAGATTACCGCGTCGCCCCGGCGTCTGTTCGACCTCCTTTAAATAAAAATAACCGAGAGCAGAAGTTACGTCACGTCCGGTTGGTCCCGAGGTGACCGCCGATCCCCGTGACATGAATTCAGGCGTGTTCGCGGAATCGTCTGCGTGTCTACTGATAACGTCGTGTACCAGGCTTGAGACGGTCGCGTTTCTGTCTGTTCAGGAGGGCTGCAGCTGCAATTGGGGGGTTTCGGCGGGCTAGATTACACGCTACGCGCTAATCCCGTCCAACGATCCACGGACTTCGGGCTCGCGAAGATGGGCTTAAGTTTGCCGGAATTACCGCGACATCAGCTACCCGCAGTCTCCAAGGTAAGTAATTACTCTGGAGTCAGGTGAGGGCAACGCTTTTCAATTCCCCTATCGATTCCCCGGATAAAGCCTGCCGCCGCTTGTTCGCCTGAGATCTCTCTCCTTCCACGCTTATGTTATTTTATACGAAACTCGGGAACCTGGCAAACCGCATCCTTTATCTTGCACGATGCGCGCACCGTAACGGGCAACTTGTTTTATTCGAGTTCGCAGAATTTTCTCATTAACATGCGAAGCCGTGTTCCGTTTCAAAATACTTACTTGCGCGGGCTCCGATGATGATCGTAATTGGATCGTTAAGACGAGAATTTATTGTTAACGTGAATTATGATTTCGTTCTTGCAGATCGGATTCGAGCAGCATTTGTGGTAGGTCGAACATAGCCGTAAGAGTAGTACACGCGGTCATCATCGATAACGTTTCAAAGTATTCCAGCAAACTGCCAAAGTTACCACACTATAGATAATACTGTGTAATTCTAGATAAACACTATTTTCGTAGCGTTGTTACATATAAAATTGTTAAATACCATATGTGATTTAATATATTCTTATATAGAAATATATATATTTGTTACCAGATTTTCTGTTTATCATTTATTACTTGCCGATCGAATCGTTCAATGCTTTATTCCATTTCGTGTGTTTGGTAAAAAACTTCGTTCGGTCGTACTCTTCTCTCTTTAACGGTATAACCGTTAGATCTTAACTATTGCTGACGTGTACGGGAAGCGAGGGACGCTCGGCTTTATTTCAGAAGCATTCGTAAAAGTCGATGCGAATCGATTTCGTTGGCCAGATTGAATTCAGTCGATTCTCCCATCCAGCCGGCATGACCATTGTCACCCCGAATTGCATCGACTCGGACAAATACCGCGAGAACCGGCCTTTCAGCCTCCACAGTTTTCCGAGAATTTGCGAACAGCCGAAACCGTTTCCGACGGGATGAACTTAATATCTTACCCACTTACCTTTATCACCGACGGACGGAATAGGTGGTATTAAAAATCGACGATCGTTTTCATTTATGCTATGTTTTATTAATTTTAACAGGTGTCCGCGTGTGTATGACTCCTCGTGTCTCGTGTGTTCCCCCGGCTCGTGAATATGTATAGATATTGCCATCAGTACATACAGCGTTTTAGATATTTATTTATTTATTTTGTTCTCGTTCGCCACGCTTATCGCTAATTTTCGGCAAATTAAACATTCGTCCCTTACATCTATGCCCTGTATAGACCATTCGTAGTAATGATTAAGAAATTCATAGGAAAAACATAGTCGTTTCCGCGCTCGAAGTGGCACACACACACACACACACATACCCCTCTTTCCCCTAATGGACATTTACTTTGACGTTCCTAATTACTTTTACTCCGTGTGTGTGTTCTCGCGTGTCCCTCGAGGAGGTAGAGACCGATCGATCGGAACCACCGAAAATTTCGTCGTCACTCATTCGCACACGCACTCTGATTCGTCGTTGATTATTACAGATACGATGTATTTACACAGATGTACAACCGCTACTCTCGCGCGTCTCTCTCGCGTTTACGACACATATGTATACATCGAGTCGCGTACACTTATATACAGAGAAGGGAACATATTCGGGTTAGAAAAATACAGCGATTTTACGCAGGATCCTAATAGTATCTTTGCGCTCTCATCTCTTATGCGTCCACGTTCAAACAAATTGCTAGGCTCATCGATTTTCCGCGGGGGGAGGCGGGCGTTCATACGGGAATGCACGATAGGAACGGTCAAAGGAAATGCTTCGGTCGGTATTCGAGCTAAAAAAAATTTCGCGAATGCTCTTTCAATATATTCACTCGCCAGCTGACCCGGCAAACTTTTCCCTCGCTAATGGCCCCGCGAACTTCGTCAATTAATAATCCATCGAAGGTCCGTTCATCTCGCACGGTCTTAAAACGTCGCCGATAACAGGGCATAAAGTTCCGACTGATCGACGCGATTCGCGTATCTTACAATTCGCATATAACTCGGGCATCGATTAATTAATTGAAATTTAATGCAGTTTTGATCCTGCGCTCGTTTCATTTCTCTCTACTATTACAAATAAAAGCTCATTCCTCCCGTTTTTAACTGTTACTCACATATTTCGCTCGAGTATGTAGTGCGTCACTCGAGAAGCAGTAAATACGTCTTCCAATTTTCCGGGATTTAATCTTCTGAACAGATGGAACAGGATATGTTGAAGAGCCACGGTATCATATTCGAAAATGATATAAGGATCCGTTTTACGAGCGTACACTAAGCAACATGAAAATTCTCTCTCTCTCTCTCTCTCTCTCTCTCTCTATATCTCAGAAACGTTGTGGACGATTTCTGACCTACCCTGTTTCAGATTCCTCGGTAGCGTTTCAACGATACAAAAATAAAACGTGGTACATAACGATAAATCTCGAGTCACGCGACTGTCGCGAAGGGTGAGCCCCGGATGGGAAGTGAAGCAGCACATAACAAAACTCAAGTTTATCACAATTCACCAAGAAAGTCCTCTGTCTCTAGCGTATTCAGCGTGTTACACACTATCGTTATCACCTAACGCTCTCCTCTTCCAATTTTTTTTTATTTATTGCGGTGTACCTTACTTATCATTAGAGTTTAGCAACCGGTGCCGCGTAATTCGTTAGTTACTTCTAGTTATGTACAAATATACATTGGAAGCTTAAAGCTACATGATACAACATACTCGTAGAACCCAGAGAGTAAAAAGCTTTGATTGTAGACGTTATTGCAAGAGCTTCGGGTCGCACGGAACGTTGCCTCCGGTTTTCACGTTTCGCCTCTCCGCTGCCAACTTTAAAACGTATCACTTAATTCCGTGAACAGCTCGAATTTAAACTAACAATTCGAATAAAAACCTTGTCGCCGATAGAAGCAATAATGATGGAACGGAATGAATTTTTGTTTCGTCCGATATGATCTCGCGTGCAATTACGTGCAAATATTGTTCGGTCGACGATTCGCCGGTCAGCGGAGAGCAAATGTGTCTGCCGTTTATTGTTTTTCGTGGCCCATCTAACACACATAGAACATGCTCGGTAAAGCGCGTCTCGAATGCCAACAACCAAGTACGGGCGTCGTGCTCTTCGTACTCGCATTGATATGTTTGAAAATTCGGGTCGCAGGAAAGTTCACGGTCCACTCGCGGCGCACGGAATCCGATATGCAGGTGCTCCCGAACGCGGAAGGCCCGCTGGCTCGTGCTCGGACTACGCTGCCTCGTACATACCCCGGGTCTGTCGAACGCGTCGTGAAAGTACAATGTTTATCTACGCGAGAAATTTCTCCGGGCTGTTGAAGCTGCGGGAGTGGCAGAAAGGATCGGTCGCCTTCCCCTATCGATCCCCGTTCCGCTCTGCGACTCAAACGGAAACGTACGTACAGCGCGATCAACGCGCAATGGCCAGCGCGCGACCGACCTCCTCTCATCACCGTGACCGTGTCCTCGCAATTAAACGCAGCCTGGCGACGGAGGAGGACCGGGGAGCAGGCAAACAGTCCCGACGGATTCGCTTTCGAAGAACGAACGGGTGTTTGAACAGCTTTCTCGGATAGAATATCCGGCGAACTCTAAATCCGATAGTTGAAAAGGGAAGTTTAGGGGAAGTTAAAAGGGACTCCCGCGGAGTGGGTGAAAGGCGTGCGTCGGACACGTTCCACAGAGAGATTTCTCGTTTCTTCGCGGGACGCGATTTCGAAGTACGCGATTTATAAAATTTATGTAAAATCCGTTTGCTCGGTCTCGCGGCGAACAGGTGCTCGATTAAAACGGCGATGGGACGATGACGGAAGATCAAGAATGACAGGGAGACGGTGCTTCGATTGCGCGCGACTTGTGTATGCGTGTCTGTCTGTGTGTGTATGTGTACACGTAGATACTTAAGTTATGTATAAAGACGCGGAGTTAGACTGCAACGCGCAGCTTTGAGCCAGAACGTATTGCTATACCTTAGAAGCTACGATAATACTGCCACGGTATATTTAACGGAGTATAATACGTGTACTGCGTCCTCGTTCGTCAAACCCGCGGTCCAATCGTTATCGACTGCTCTACTCTAATCTTCGACACATCGTTTACCAATAATCGCGCGCTTAACACCGTGACGTTCGTCCCACAATGGTGTGCAATGAAGGTCCTATGCGATTTCCTTCTAACTCCATTTGTTAAGAAGTATTTGACGATTATTCCTCAAGTATTCGAGATAGAAAAGTGTATACGACCTTTTTTGAAGATAATAATAGTACCTACAACTTTTATTCGAAACATGTATCGAAATTCCGCCAAAAAAAAATTT